CCCTGATGGAAAAGAGTCTGATGTGGGTTCAAGGGTTTAGTGTTTAGGATTTAAAGGTTGAGAGGTTGAAGGGTTTAAGGGTTGAGGGTTTAGGATTTAAGGGTTGAGAGGTTAACGGTTTAAGGGTCTAGGATTCTGGGATTGGGTTTAGGTGATGTAGCTTGTGTCGAATTAGCCTTATGTCTTTAGAGGGTACTTCGAGCTCTAAAGTCTTGAAATCGTACCAGCTTTCAGCTATTTGGGGCCCTAGGATGGCGCTAGGTACATCTGTACACATGTAGAAGGCGTTCTGCGGAGTTCGTGGCACCTAGCTCAGCAAAGCTTACCAGAAGACGCTTTCAGATGTTGAAGCTGGTTAGGGCCTAGGGTTATAGTCCCCCTTAAGTAGATAGAATAGGGGGTATATGGGGATCTTAGTATCATATACCCAAAGCCATGTTCTAGCTACTCAAGGGGAAACTTTGAACTCTACACCCTAAACCCTAAATAGTAGTTTCCATTTTCTTTTCCATTATCCCTATAGAACCCCAAACCCTAATATTCGATCTACTAAAGGGGGACAACCCGTTTAGGGTAAGTCAGCAGCTTTCCTGGATGTGAGGCTGCTGGAGGATTCTGAGCCGCGAGCTCTGATATGCCATGCGGACAGCGTGCCGTTGCTGTCGGCGACGCTGCAGGGTTGTCGAATAGTACCATGTTACACCTTTTCGAGTATGTGAACCCAATACAAAATAGAAACGACCATTTTGAGCAGTACCTCAACACCAAATATCCTGGCTGCCCATATGAGCCATAGTCTAACCCCTTAGGGGGGGGGTTATATAGGGGATTATATAGGGGACTATTATAGGGGTTATTAAGGGGAATACTAGGAGTCTAGGCTATGGCTCATATAAAGCTTGTACCTCAACAATGTCAGAGGTTGGAGAGCAAGAAGGACTGGCATCCTCCAATCTTTTGGTCAGGCGACTGGGAAGCTGTACTCTGGGTTTAGGGTTTTAGCGTTTAGGGTTTAGGGGTTTAGGGCTTAGGGCTTAGGGTATAGGGTTTAGGGGTTCAGGGTTTAGGATTTAAGCTTTAAGGGTTTTGCTGTTTTACCCTTGGGTTGCTAATGGGCTTCGGGACCCTAGGATTAGGGTTTAGGCTTAGGGTTTACACTTGTAAGGGGTTGCAATAGGGTTATAATCGGCCTACTAGGGGGTATAATATGTTACCCAGCCTCATAGTACTTGCGCCGCAGATGGGAGTTTGAATCCTGTGAACGGGCTTAACAAAGGAATGCAGGAGAATATTAGAATATATGGAGGATGCACAGCAGATTCTACAGGGACATTGGAGTTTGGGGTTTAGGGATTAACATAGATTGACACAATGTGTGATCCTAACCTGCTGGGTTTGGAGCTTGATCTTCTTTTCCAGTTCTCCTTCTGGCTTCTAGTACTAGGTACCCCAGTAGTACCCTTTTTTCCTTGTTACTTTTGGGTCACCTTATTAAAGCTGAACATTAGGAAAAAGGGTGCCCTTGTTATTAAGGGTTACTGGAGAAACTAGAGTCAGAAGCACCTCTCATGATGGCACAACTTGTGGGGACTCCAGCTTGTCTTTTTTTCGCAGATGCTCTCCGGCAGTTCGACTGTTAGAAGTTCAATGAGAATCCCGAGTTCTATCATCCCCAATCTAGTGCGGAACCCCAGGGCAGTCGAAACCGCCACGTCTTCCTGTTAGGAAGGGCCACTCTCCTGGCTGGTCCCTAAACCCTAAACCGCGGGCTAGAAACCAGAGTGGGAGGCATATATAAACTTCCCTGGTCATGAACCATGGACTTTTTTTTGTACCCTACGGTTTTGTACCCCTCCTTAAATAGGAAATTTGGGACCCAAAGCCAATGGTGACAAAGCTTAAGGGTACAAATCTCAAGTCGAGAGAGCGCGGAATACACTCTCCAAAACTAAGCTGGAACCGGAAAAGGGTCCCTTGTAGACCAAGAAATAGGGCTCCCTTTTCAGTGTACGTATCATATGGGTTCTAGTAGTTTGGATTGATGAAGAGCATAGGAAGCTGTCATGTGCAACAAGTGCGGCCTGTAGTGAACAACGGGGTTTAGGGTTTCGGTTTCAGGGCTTGAGGACCCTAAACCCTAGACCCTAAACCCCTAAACCTTTAGGGTGAAGCTCAGGGATTCCCTTACTACCCCCTATACTACTCATAATACACAGCTCTTAGCTGCAGTTCCCAGCTAAAACAGGCACCTTGAAGACGTTTTTGCAAATTTACGGAGCGCGTTGGAAATAGAGAGAGGGCTTTTTTCTCCTGGCTCTCGCTTTTGCTTCCTTTTAAGGAAAGTCGTCTTGATGGTGGTCGTTTTGGGGGGATTCCTGGGAAAAGGCAGGTTAACAGCGATCCTCGCCCCAAAGCCGTGCCTACATGTGAGATTGCAGGCGGCGTCCCTGACATTGACGCTTTCGCTGGATCTGCGAATGCTCTTTGACGGCCCATAAAGGAAGTTTTCAGCCCTGAGATCTTTCCTCAAGCCTAAACACCGAAACCTTTAGGGTTTAGGGTTTGCCTAAACCCTAAACCCGAAATCCTAAACCCCCCGAACTCCTAGCCACTCCCTAAATAAGTTAAACCCTGAACCCCTGCTTGAAGGTTCAGGGGGTGTTATAATTGCAGTTCTTTTTAACCAAGACCAGCGTGGTTTTGGCCGAATTTCGGGAGTTTGTTACCTTACTTTAACTAATAGTTACGCCATGAATCCTCAAGTAGACAACGTGAAAACTCAGGTTTGCTTGGAGTCCATCTTTGCCCGACTAGACTCCCCTCTTGGATCTTGGCCGGAGTGGCCGGGAGAAGGTGGGCAGTTTCCAAGACTTGGATCCCAACTGCAGTTTAGGGCTTAGGGTACATGTTGGTAGGTACGGTACTAGAAGAGTTTCCCAGAAACAGGGTCCATGAGGTACTAAGATTGGCACCCCCAAAGGTGCCCATGATTTTGAGAAGAAGCCAGGTCCAAAGAGCGAGGTGTCAAGCATGGCCTGCGAGATGTACTTTACCTCTGGTACCTCGGGTCGCTCCAAAGGGGTCCTCTTGTCCCATGAGATTGTACATGCGCATGCTCTGCATTGCATTGCAGAGCACCGGTTCACATCGGCTGATGTTTGGCTTCATGTAGCTCCTATGTTCCACTTGGTGGATGCCTTCGCAATGTTTGCAATCACGGCCGTGTGCGGGAAGCACGTGCTGCTGCCGCATGCCTTCGACGCGGAGCGGACGCTGGAGACAATGCAAAGCAAAGCTGGCCAGATTATAACAACCTCACTCGTCCTCACCCTTAAATGGTGGTTTATAGGGACATAGTCCTAAATAGGCTTAATTTCAGGTTCTGAAAAGATCATAAAAGGCCTCCTTGTTATTATTGTCACGATGTTATTATTATGACAAGTTGTTATCCTTGACGCTTATTATAGCAGTTGTTAATTGATACTGTCCCCACTCACTAACAGTCGGCTAATATTTATCGTATATGAGCTACAGTCTAAACTCGTTAGAGGGGATTACATATGGGAATATATAGGGGAAATATTATAGAAGGGGGATACTAGGAGATTCGACTACAGCTGATATTTATGAAGCGCCCTTAATCTGACCCCTGTTACAGACTGTAAATGGGTGGGGCCCGCACCCAATTTATCATTTTTAGCGCTTTAAACCCTAAACCCTAAGCTCTAAACCCTAGACCCTAAATCCTAAACCCTAGACCAAAATCCTAAACCCTAAATCCTAAAGAGTAGCTTCCATTTCTTTTCCATTTTCGCTCTATAACCCTATATAACACCTCTAACTTCCCTTATTCCCTAAACCCCAAACCTTTCCCTAAACCCTAAACCCTAAACTCTTACGTAAACCCTAAAATGGCCAGGCAAAGGCATCACCGCCACAAACATGGCAACGTCAATGGTCAACTTACTCCTCGCCTCCCCCGCGAGTCGATCCTTGGATGGCCGGTGCCTGGGTTGCTGTAAATAATGGGGTTTAGGGTTTAGGGTCTGGGGTTTAGGGTTTAAAGAGCCCCAACATGCCGTAATTAGTTTAGGGTTTAGGGCTTAGGGTCTCGGGCTGCGGGTTAAGGGCTTAGGGTTCGGGTTTAGGGCTTAGGGTTTGGGGTTGAGGGTGTCATATACCTAAAATGATACAATTAGCCCCTAACCCCTGAAGCCCAAAATCTCAGTTTAAGTTCCTTCAGAAACAACCCAGGTTTCCCAGCTTGCGACTGGTCTCCTGTGGAGGAGCACCTTTGAGCAAAGCCGCGTTACTCCGAGCCCAGCGCCTGTTTCTAGGTTGTTGTTGATTAAACTTGTAGGGTGAACACTTGGTCCTTTTCCTTTTGCTTTCACCAATAAGAGGGTTTCCAGTTGCCCCAACTTTGTATTCAGGATCCTAGAACTATCAGACCCTAATAGGGTCCTAGTTTAAGGGGTAGCGGTAACTAACGCCCACCTCTTATCAAATCCTAAACACAAAACTCTTATCCCTAAGCCCTAAACTCTAAGCCTGAACTCTAAATTCTAGACCCTAAACTCAAATCTCGAAACCCTAAAGGATAAACTTTAAAGCCTAAACCGAAACCCCATAACCATAAACCCTAAACCCTAGACCCAAATCCTAAATCCCAAATCCCAAATAGCAGCTTCCAGTTGCTTTTCCATTATCCCTATATATCCCCCTACATAACCCCTATATAATCCTATATATCCCCTATATTACACCCTAAATCCGTATTCAAGGTTTGGCTGCGAATTCTTCCAGTCCTACGGGATGACTGAGTGCTGTGGGAAGCTTGTCTGCCTTAAGCCTTGGGGTTTAGGGCTTAGGGGCTTAGGGTTTAGGGCTTAGGGGTTTAGGGTTAAGGGTTCAGGGTGTAGGGTCTAGGGGTTTAGGGTTTACTTAGGGAAATATAGGGGCTGTATGGGGGTTTATTGAAAGGTTTTTTTTCGTGTAGAGCTTTGGGATTAGGGTTCAGGGTTTATATCGGGATTATATAGAGAGTGCGTAGGGAGTATGTGTAGGGGAATGGCAAGGACAGTGAAACCTACTTTAGGGTTTGAGGTTTCTCGACTGGCCTACACCCTAAACCCTAAGCACTAAATACTAACATTTTTGGGCTTCCCGTTTTCTTTAACTCTCAGGAGGGGTCCTAGAGTCAGCTACCCAGAGAGCCCCAACATGCCTTCAATAGTTGAGGATTTGGGTCTAGGGTTTAGTAGAAGGGTCCGGGTTTTAGGCTTTGCGTTTAGGGTTTAGAGTTTAGGGTCTACATTGGTTGTAGGGTTCAGGGTTTCATATACCTGGAATCATTCTAGGATCAGATTCCGAATACGACTTCAGATTATTCCCTGATTAAAGAGTATTGGGAGACCCTACATCCGAAGCCCTAAGCCCGAGACCCTAAACCTGAAATCCTAAACCCTAAGCCCTAAACCGTAGGGTGTTGGGTTCTCTGGACAAGGAAGATCTCCATGTCCATGCTGAACAGTGAGCAGCGGGGAACACCTCTGGGCAAGCAGCAAGAGATGCTTTGCTCCTCTGGACCCTTGGCTGTTATGGGGTTTAGGGTTTGGGGTTAAGTGCATATCTGCGCAGAACACTTGCACACCAGTTTGAATAGCCCTAGAGCGCTGTGTTCTGACAATGCTTCCCACATTTTTTCAGGGAGTCCTGTACCCCTTGGCTGCAGCCTCCATCCCACGTACTGGTGGTTAGTACGGAATAAGGCAATATGATCCCCACATAATCATTCCCTATACGCTATATCCCCTTCCACCCCTCTAACCCTCTCTTGAGCCTAAGTCCTCTTCGGGATACTTGTATCTAGGGAGCATCCCTTAATCAAGGTGTATTGGGCTCTCTGGAATCCCTACAGCCGAAGCCCTCCACTTCATATCCCTTTTTTCATTACGATCCTCTATTTCGGTGTTTATCTATGTATATGTATATATATGTATATTTGTAGATATCCTCACACACTCATGTGCCCTTAAAGGCCCTAAACCTTGGATACTGCCCGCACTCATTGACCGCGGATCATATCCATAGCAGAACTATGGAGCCCGTATTACGACCTATGATAGACATTGGCAGGGGCAGGACCCAACCTAAACCCTAAACCGCAAACCTTAAACCCTAAGCCCTAAACCCAAACCCCCAAACCCTAAACCCTCAAACCTGAATAGTAGCTTCCGTTTTCTTTTCTATTATCCCTATCTAAACCTCTGAACCCCCTTAGCTTGCCAGGAAAGCCGTTCCAGGGCATTGAGGTCCGTGTGGCTGATCCAGAGACCGGAGATGCGGTGTCTTCGGATGGCAAGGCTCAGTCAAGGAGTTTAGGGCTTAGGGTGGGGGGGGTCTAGGGCTAAGGGTTTAGGGCTAGGGGGTTCAGTCAGGGTTTTTAGGGTTTCAGGGTTTGAGGGTTTTAGGGTTTAAGGTGTTAAGGTTTCAGTGTTTTAGGGTTCTGGGGTTTTAGGGTTTAGGGTTTTGAGGGTTTCAGGGTTTAGGGTTCAAAGGTTCATGGTTTAGGGTTTTCAGGTTTAGGGTTTAGGAGCAGTTGTTTAGGGACCCCAGGAAGAATTTATCTCTAGGTCCTTAGTCTCTCCACAGTAAGACTCGCTCCCAGAATATTTGTAAAACAATCCCTGTAAGCTTTCTGGGGTTTCAGAAAACCTTGCAGTGGATTATGTCACCTTTTTTCAATGTAGATATATATACATAGGCATTCATTATGTATGGGTCGTACGCTCCTTGTAATTTGGTTCCTTCTCTGGTTGCGATGTGTGTTCCCCTGCAAGGCCGTGGGAGAGGTACAAATCCGAGGCCCGACCGTACCTGTGGTGGCAGTTTCGGTTACGCCCAGGGTTTAGGATGTAGAGTTTAGGATAATTTACGGTTAAGGGTTTGGGAAATAGGTTTTGATGATTAGTTCCACGCCCGCTCATGTTGGGCTTCATTGGGGTTCCATGTTTTCCCTTCTGCTGCTTTCATTGGGGCGGGGCCCGGCCCAGGGAATAGTTCACAACTTGCGAATATTAGCATAGGAGTGCATATGCATAAATAGTTTTGGGGCAATGAAACAGACACCCGAAACTGGCGGCCCTTCATCGTAAATCCCAACCCTAAGCCCCTGAACCCCTAAACCCAGGTATTCCAGGGCTATCTGAAGCCAGGGCAGGAAGGCAGCAAGAGCCATGATGCCGAGCATTTCATGCCTGGTGGGTGGTTCCTGGATCCACATTAGGGAGCCTGATTTTTTTATTAGTTTTTTTTTGTGAGGGGGGGGGGGTGGGATGGGGCTGGGTTTCCTGATGCAAGGATTGTTCTGAAGCATCTCTCAGAGTAGGGACCCCTAGGAATACACTTCCTGAAAGTGTAGGTCACAGTGCAAGTGTTCCGAACCAAGAAGGGAGGCTACCTCGTGGTCGTCCCGGGGACAGATACCTTGAACAACTGCCAACCCTAAACCCTATTCCTTAAACCGCGCACATAGCCCTCTCTAAATCCTAGATACCCCTAACATCTCTTCGCAACGTCTACAACTGTTTAGGGTTTAGGATTAAGGATTTAGGGTGTAGGGCAACCCTAAACCCTAACCTTAAATGGCCCTAACCCCTACTGTAAACCCTACATGAGCCACTGTCTAAACTCCTAGTATCCCCCTTAATGTACCCTATAGTAGTCCCCTATATAATCCCCTATATAACCCGCATTAAGGAGTTTAGACTATAGCTCACATGGCCAAGGTTCCATACAGGAGACTTGGCAACCTTGAGTCCCGATGGCTTCCTCCACGTGATCGACCGGCTCAAAGATATGATCCTGGTCGGTTCCGAGAACGTGTACTGCATAGAGGCGGGAGCCTTTTAGGGTATAGAGTTTTGGGGTTTAGGGTTCAGGGTTTAGGGTTTAGGGTTTTGGGTTCAGGATTCATACTCATCGCAAGAAACCCTAGAGAATCCTGAAACTTGGACCCCGCCAACGCTTTCATGATCCAAAGAACCTTAGAGTTTGAACCCTAAACCCCTTAACCCCTAAACCCCTAACCCCTAAACCCTAGACCCCTAAAACCCCTAACCCCTAACCCCTAAACCCTTGAACCCTAAACTCTAGACCCCTAAAACCCTAAATCCCTCAACCCTGAGGTTGAGAATGCCTTGGCTGCCCATCCCTCAGTTGCCCTTTGCTCGGTTTATGGAGTTCCTGGGCCCGACCCTGGGTTCCTGTTGAGTAAAGTTTCCCTAAACCCTAAACCCTAGGGTTTAGGAACTTCGGGCTTAGGGTTTAGGGTTCAGGGGTTAGGGTTTAGGAGCTTCAGGTTTAGGGTTTTTTGGTTCAGGAATTCAGGTTTCGGGTTTAGGGTTTAGGAATTCAGGGTTTCGGGTTTAGGGTTTAGGAAGTCAGGGTTTCGGGTGTAGGGTTCAGGGGTTTAGGGCTTAGGGTTCGGGTTTAGGGCTCAGGGTTCCCTACAGAGGGTTTTTATCTGTGGGTTATACAGGGTTCAGTGTAAGTTACCCTAAGTTTATGGACATCTTGCGATAATGGTTTAATTTAAGCCCTAAACCCTTAACCCTGAACTAAACCCAAAAACCAAAAAACCTACACACTAAAACCCTAAACCCTAAAACCCTAAACCCCAAACTCTAATAGTTTAAAGGAAACTTCGTTTGAGTTTTTGGCAGCCCAGGAGATGATCGGAGAGTTCGTAAAGGCTGTGGTGATGCTGAAGGATGGTGCTCCTCAGCCGAGCCAGGCGTCCGACACCTTACAAGGGTTTAGGGTTGGAACTTAGGCTTTAGGGGGTTTAGGATTTAGTGCATCCCTAAAGACCCAAACCCTAAGCCCCCTAACCTCTAAATCCCTGAGCCCTAAACCCATAGCCCAACCCCTAAACGCGAAATCCTTTAAGGGGACCGCCAAAGCAGCCTGATGAAGCCCTTTGATTTGCACCCTATGAACCCATAACTCCCAAGACCCTACACCCTTAATCCCTAAACCCTACAAAGCCCTAAACCCAATAAAACCTCACAAGCCCCTAAAAACCTCTATAACCCCCTGGAACCCCTTTAAATCCTTATTAGCCCGAAGCCCTAAACTTTAAACCCTAGACCCTATAAATCCATATAAGCCCCTATAAACCCTAAATTCCCCCCACGTTAAAAGGAGGAGTTGCAAGCCTTTTGCGGCACACGCCTGGCCGACTTCAAGATCCCTCGCATCCTGGAGTCCCTGGGTTTGGCTTCAGGGGGTTTGGGGGTTTAGGGGTTTAGGGATATGGGGTTTAGGGGGTTTAGGGGGTTTAGG